GCTCAACAGAGCTGCAACAGGAACAGCAGATAGGAAACATGGCAGGACAGAGGCATCCACTGGAGATTTCTGACCTTTTTTTAAAAATAGTCACTGCCTGTATGCCAAGTCTCTGAGAATATGAAAACTATATCAGCTTGGATCAAATATCAGTTAGCTCTTCTGACAATGACCAGAAGTAGATACCTAGAGAAATGTTTAAGCAAGGAAATGCCTGTAGAGATACTGCCCAGAACATCCTGCCAGCCAGTTGCAACCTGCAGGGCAGTGACTGCCTGGACCATATGGGCTGTGTTTGTGTTTACCAATCCTTCACTGATTTCTCTGATGAGAATCAAATGCATGAAGACCTTTATCACCCTCCAATTCCTGTGGCAAAGAGCTTACAAAACCTGTAGACTTTTGAAGAATCACCTTGGGTTGTGCCCCAAAACTTCTTACCCACTGGTTTCCCTCATTCTTGCACTGGAAGGGTTGGTGAAAACCCTCTCCTGTTCCCTATTTCCCCAGCACTTAGAGACTGCCTTCCTCTCTCCACTGTAACCTCTTTTCCAGCTAGAAGAACTGTATTGTTTATTTCTTGTAGGGAAGAAGAAATAAACATTCCTTTGGCCACTTTTGACATCCTGCTCTGAACATTTTCCAGTCCCAATCCAGCTCTTTTGAGAGGCAGTTGAACTTTCCACTTCTGTATTGCAGGGAATGACTGTGAGCTGTACTAAAATAACAACTATAATTGAAGATTACTAAGGCACAACACCATTCAGCTGCCTGTCTGCCTTGACATGATGCAGCAGATATGTACAATAAATATTAGTAAAACTTAAACAAATGACAATCAGAAGTCAAATGAAACTACTGAAAATTAGAGGATGATGAAAATAATTCTTTCTTCTTTACTCCCCACCCTAGAGAGGAAAATTGTCACAAATCACCTCCTTCCAATTCTGTAACACAGCATCCTGTATCTCACTCTAATGGCATCTGTTCTGATCTCCCATAGTCAGAGTGGCAGTTTCAGGTTTCCAAGCCAGGCACAGCTTTCTTTTCCCATAATGAATTCTGCCTTTCCAGCATATCACACATCATGTGGTTGCTATGGAATTGAGTTTCCCTTTTGCTGTTAAAAGATGATGGGCTTTCTCATTTAGTAGCATGCTGTTCCATGGGCAGGGCCTGGAAGGGCCTCCAGCATCTGGCACACCAGAAGTAGCTGATGTTTGCTCCCCTTTCTGGTCTTTATGATCCAATTTACATTTTCCATACGTGCTCTTTCCCAATAACCACTTGCTGTTTTATTTTTTTAATTTCATTTTATGAAACACAGTCGGCCACTAGGGATTCTTGAACAGACTTTTCCATTTTTGGAATGGGGAAAAGCACAAAAGTAAAATCTTCTTTTAAAGCTTGGAACAGGTGCCATTAGCTTTGGTTGTTATGCATCTGCTCCTTCTTACTGCAAGCACTTTTACAAACCCCGTGGCAGCCTGGGGCTTTGTGAATCCCCCCTACATCCCGGGACACGGCAATTCTACTGCAATACAGCAACAACTTCTTGCACTGGAGTAGGAGGGATTCATGCTGCTGCAGGTGGGTAGATAATCCACAGGCTGCTCTCCTAGATCAACACTACCAGCCAGCATTATCTGGCATCCAGGAATAAGCTCTCCCTGCGGCTGGATGTGTGGCCAACCCTCGCAGCGGGCCCACGAGGGGCTCACACGTTCTGCCCGAGCCGGAGCCGTGCTGTGGAGCACGGACCCACGGCTCCGGCCCCTGAGAGCCCGGAGGGAGTGCAAGGCTCTCCTGCGGGCACGGAAGGTGTCCGTGCTCGGGCAGATAAGGAGCGGGCAGGCTCGGCGGGGATGCCGTGTGTGCAGGCAGGCAGGCACGCCGGCCGCCCCAGCTGCGCGCCGCTCCACACGTAGAGGGAGAGCGGAGGAAGGATTTCCTGACTTCCTCTGCTCGCTCCCGGCCCCTGCACGCAGCCCGAGCATGAATCACGAGCCTTCATCTGCAAGATACCAGGCAGCTTTTCCAGCATCCTGGATGCAACCTGCCCCAGCCCTAAAAGCAAGCTCTGAGTTAGTGGTGCTCTGCGCTCTCAAGCTCTGTAAAAAGATGGGCATCATCTGCACGTTTCATTTTGCTGTCCCTTATGGCAGGAGGAGTGAAGGCAGAAAAAAGCAGAAATTCCATAGATGAATTCCATAGATGAGTATGTGGAGTCTGAAAAAAACCCACTACAACTCACAAATTTCATTTTCCCTGCCGTTTGTCTTTTGAACCTCCTTTCTGAGATGACACTGGACAGTTTCAAAACTGATTAATGAGTGTTACGTTGTTGACTAGCAGGAATAGCATCCCACTGGATCAAAAGAACAGGCAGCTTCATCAAAGAAAGACCAGACACAAGGGATTACAGCTCACATGTCACTGGAAACCCACCTATGAAATCAAAAGAAAACTAAAGGTTGTCAAATTTTATGGTCTTCCAGGACTGAAATATCAGACTCCAGCCCAAACTGTGTAAAAGCACTACAATTTTCAGCTAGAAGAAGCTGTCAGCTGATATGCAGCTGCTTGACTAGAAAACATAGATTTTGTTATAGAAGGGGTAGGAAGAAGTTAAAGTAACTCTGGGTGGTTATTTCTTTACCAAAAAAAAAAAAAAAAAAAAAAAAGAATCTTTATCTTACAAGCTAAACCTGCTTGAGTGATTAACAAATGGAGAATCCAGGGTCAGGTGTTTTAAGGGCTGTTCTGCTGCCAGCTGCTCGTCGCAGGCTAGGTGGGTTTGGGAGAGCAGAGCAGAAGTGTGTCCCCTGATGCAGCATTTCTGGAGAGCATGATGGTGCAGGAGACTGATCCATGGGGTAACACAGTGTCTGAAAGGTGGTCTTACATTAATAGTCTTGAATCAGCAATCTTAAAGCCAAAATTTCCTTAGACATCAACAACTGTGAGAATTCAAGACACCTGGCAGGACATTTTGGGATTTGATTGTTGCAGCCTAGGTAGGTCAGAAGAAAGCTGTGAAATGTCAGAGCGAGATATCACTCAGCTCCTGTCTAGAAACCCACAATGGAGAACAGAATCCCTGTCTAGATGAGCTCTGGTCAGTACTGGAGTCAAAAGTACCTTCAGTGCTTTTTTCATTTCTGGAAGGATCTGTGGGGGAGGAAAAGGCTGTCCTGGGAAATAGAAGCAAGTGTCTGCACAACTGTACTTGCCACAGTGAATTAGGCAGCCTGCCATAGGGCCAATCCAGAAAAACAAGTATCCCCTAGTGAGCCACAGTGCTGCTACAGGACACGGACACCTTTCCAGCAGTCAGCTGGCACAGGAGAGTGCTTTCTCTCAGTCTCTGCTTTGCTCTCAGCCTCTGCTTTGGTGGGATGGTGACAAAGACATATTTTTAAACGTATGTATACATTCTTTTGTGTGGAAGTCTATGAAACACTTACTTATATTTAAGGTGAATTTAAGGCTATTTGAGGTGAAAAACAAATATACAATATGTGACCTAGTCAATTTCTATTTATTTGTGATTGTTGGCAGCAGTGTGGAGGCTGCGCTGTGCATGTGCTCTCCTAGAGGAGGGAATGGTCCTTTGATTAGAAAAAGAAAAAGAAGAAACACTGTCTTGTACTGTCATATGGAGATTTTTAATTGAAATATCTTCATTGTAACTGCCTCTCCACAAAGGGAGATGGAAGTTTCAGTTCCTGCTCTGAAGACTGCCAGCAGCATTTAGAGTCATACCCAGCACAAGGACCTAGATCTATCCATGTGGGCATGTAGAATCAATAGCATGGAAAACAAAATGAGAAAAGTCCCAGCATTTATCTGTGGTGCCCCACTGCCTTCCCACGGAAGCAGCAGTGGGCTTGTGCTGGCAGAAGCATGGCTGAGGCATCAGAGGAACGGGATGCAGCAGAGGGAGGCAGTGTTGCATCAGCTGCATTTAAAGCTGCTCTGTTTTCTCTTCATAAACCAGGGGAAAGCCCAGCTCTTCAAAGCAATTCAGAGGAGGAGTCTGTATTCAGCTCTCGTTATTTTACCAGTGGGAGCTCTCAGCTTTCCTATCCTATTTGAAACTATATGCCTTAGTGCTTCAAAGTCGTTTTGGAAAGGGGAATGAGTGCATCAAGCTGCATAACTCCTGCAGCATAAAGAGAGGTCAGGAGTTGGTTTTGCATAAGAATTATGTTATCCAGTTCATGGGGAACTATTACTGCAAGGAAGGCTCAGGGATGAAAATTGAATGGATTAGACAGATCTTACTGTTCCTGATCACATCAGTGCTGATGAACAGAAAATTTGTTCTACATCTGCACAACCAATAAGCCCTCTAGAAACAGGACTCCACTCTAAATCAGTCCTCAGCACTCCCTTCATGACCAGTGGCAAATGCCAGCTGCTGTCAGGCAGGGTTTCACTCCCCATGGTAGCAGCTCCTGTCCTGAGATGCCACACAGCCACGGTCAGAGCAGCACTCAAAATCTGGTATTGTTCATCTGGAGAGCCCACACCCAAAGAAACTGAACACAGTGAGCTCTCCAGAAGTACTTAGGGAAGTGCAAATAATTCCATTTATTTTTCATTTATAGTTGATAATCACAAGTGCTGCTTTAAGAATGCTAAGGTCATGCAACCCACTGTGACACATTTGCTACGTTTTGTTTTCCTGGAATTATGTAGCCTTTGCTTCTCTTGTAGTATCTGTCCTGTCTTTCCAGGACTGACACATCAGATAGAGAAACTCCAGAACCACCACTGGGCTTTGTGTCCTTTGGGATTTCAGGGCAGAGAACAAAGGTACTGAGATGAGAATTGAGCTTTTGACTCATTAAATATAAATTACTCAGGAGTTTTTGTTTTGTTTATTGCAGTTTGGTTAACTTGTACCCAGCTGATTAAAAATCCCTCTTCCCAAATATAAATCACTTTAATGATTTAATGCCAGACCATGAAATAGGATGTGTAATAATCCACCTTATCCTTTATTTAGCTGGAGGATAAAATAACCACAAAACAAAAAACCAAAACACCACAAACTGCTTCATTTTTCTGCTCCATCCACATCACTGTTTGCTGGGGCTCATTTGCCTGCAGGCTCTAGAGATGCTGTTTCAGATTTCTTATTTAAACAAGCTTCAGTCCTGGGGAGCAGGCAAACACTGTGCTTCCAGACAGTGAGCACCCCACAGTGATTCTGAGCTGGGCTCTGCTCATGATGCTGAGGCAGGTATTGGGTCTCCTAAGCACCTCCTTCCAGGTTCTGGTCCCTCATGTGCACTCCTCAGAGACACTGGGCAGGAGCTGCCTGGTCTGGCTGAACTGCCTTTCCAAGGCAATGCTACAGAGCCCCAGGCCCAGCAAGGGAGGCAGGAGCTCAGGCAGCAAATGCAGACCATGAAGGACTGGATGTGTCTGCTGACAAGTATTGTTGCATGTCCAGTCCTGTCACAGCTGCTAGAAGCCAGGGTGGCATTGATTCTAGGATGGACAGAGAGGAATGATGATAGCAGTGTAACCCATAACTAGGTATACCTCATAAAAGGATCAACTCTCTGAACCTATGGCCAAATTACTTCTCTACCTTTTCAGATAAGTATTTTGCACAGCCAAGAAATCCCTGACTCCTAAATTCCTCCCTTTCCCCTGTCACAAGGCCACAGTTGCTTTGTATTTGGAAGCCCATCTGAATTTCATAACCAATAATTTTGTCACTTATTAGCATAATGGTTCACATAAATAGACTGTTTGAATATGAATGCAACCATCATCATCACCCTTCACCTTAAGCAGAGAAAATGAGTGCAGTGGGTCGGCACTGATCATCCTGCAGATCATTTTTTAGCCTTGAAAATCTCTCTCCTTTGAAAAAGGATCCTGCTACAATTAGTACTGATGATACATGGCAGTTGCTGTCTCCAAGAAGCTGCCATGCCAAAAAGAACTGACATGTATTTTTAGACAACACTTTAGGGTAAATCAACAGCCAGGTACTTTCCAGGTACCTATGATACCACTGCTTCCCTGTGGAAAATGAAAGCCTGAACAGTATAAGAACAGTTGAGATATTTAATCTGTTCACTTTCATAACTTTTGTGTTAGATCACTAGTGATACACAGCATGGAGAGTGGGATTGTTATGCATTACTTCTGCTCCCAAGCACGTTAAGTCTCCAGCTCCAGCCTTCAAATGCCCATTTACACAGATTCACTGTCTCAAAAGTGCCTGTGCCCCATTAAACTCCCAGCTGTAGTGCTGAAACGTGTGCTCCAGAGAGTCTGCCTGGCACTGGCCTCACATCCTTTCAATATGTATATGAAGGAGGCAACAAGAATAGTGCCAGATGGCAGTGGGAATGGAAATGATATGACGTACACATGTGATGCGATTTTCTTTCTTTTTTTTTTTTTTCTTGTGAATAAAGCATCTTGTGAAAAGAGGAATTAGATGCAGTATTTATAACAGTCCTTCATAAACATCCCCAAATTCCAAGTAGAAGACAAAAGGCATGAATCATATCACAGCAGGCGCTATAGCTGGGGAAGTGGCCTTTATGAAGATTGCTTCCGTAATTTGGGCTCCAGAATGAAAGAGAGCTGCTCTTAGGAGATCTGTAGGAAGTTGATAATGGCTTATTTAATTGTAGTATCACTAATAAAATCTGTGTTTTCATCAGGAACATTTCCTTAGCTAAAAATGCCATGATTCTTCAACTGTAGTTTGATCCTGTTCATTTTGTCTATAAATGATATAATGCCAAAAAAATAGATTAGGACATTATAGTTTCCTTTAAAAGGAAACTTTTAAACTGTGGCTGCAATCCACATCATAGAAGATGATAATCCCACAATAACTGACTTGGTATGCAGAAATAAAACAATTACTCACAAACGAGAGATCATAAAGCAAGGAAATTTGTTCTCTATCAATTATAGAGGAAATGAGACTATAATTTTCTCTTTATGACTTGACAGCTAAAAATCTCCTATTAATTGAGCCTTGTCATTAAAGGAATTCTCCCCTTGCATAATTCTCCAGCAGTTTTGGTGGCAGTTTTATGTTCTTAATCTATTTGATGACATTGAACTTGCACCTGGTATCAGAAGAGTGTCACCCCATTCATATTAGTCATGGGAAAATCCCGAAATAGAAAGGATGTGATCAGAAGAAACTTCTGATGTCTGCACTGAACAGTGCAAAACCATCTAGATTCACAGGAGTGATGAACACCAACTATCAAGTCAAAGGGATCTACACACACCAGTCATTCTCAGACACATCTGACTTCAGACAGTCACAATGGAAAATACTAGCTATCAACATAATTTAAAATTAAAATATAAACTACTAACCTACCTGGTTTTCCCACTATTTAACAGCAAAAGTTTGGCAAAGCTGAGAGCAGATCTCGGATCATTCGGCAATGCCAGCCCTGATTTGTAGCTAGACTTTTTTCCTACTGAAAGTAGGCAGGGATTTTTTGGGAAGAAAATGGTTAGTGGCATTAATGAGCAGTATGTATTGCTGCACTCAGATATCTATGAATACATTCCCTGTACACATACAACAGAAAGGGACAGGCTCCTGTAAATCACAGGGAGATGTGAAGCAGCGATGGCCAACAAATACCCAATGACTAGGTGCAGATAATAGTAGGATTATCATGGTATCCCTGATGCTGGCCTTGTGCCTTGTTTTGTGGGCCCTGCAAGGCCTGGTTTGTAGTTTCCTTACCTTTGTATCATTAATCTCCAGTGCAGAGGCTGCAGCTGGATTCAGAAGATGCACAGAGGGCACAAGAGATATGTGGATCAAAAGGTGAAGAAACTCCTCTTCCTACACACAGATATTTTGGTACTATCCACCTTACCCTGTTTAAGGTGCTCAGCAGCTGGGCATCACTTCATAGCATCTTCCACTAGAGAAGTGCTCACGGTCAGGGTTAGAAAGATACACAGAGTTCTGTGAGGAATCCTGCACAGTACCACTACCTTGGTAGTACTAAGCATCAGCAAAGCCAGGCAAAAGAGGATACAATGAGATTTTAATGGGAATACATCGCTTCCAGCTTGTTAGGACTGCGTTCCAGCCAAGGGAAGATAAGACTCCAGCATTCCTTTGCACTTTACCATCAAACCAAAGGACTGCAAAGGATAGCTGACAACAGCTTTAAGGGGGGGAAATGGATGAAAGCAGAGCTTTCTCAAGCAAAGCTTCAAAGCGTGAAAGGCAAGAAAATTCCCAGAGCTGTCTACTTGCAAGCAGTACCAGACTGCCTGCAGATGACTCCAGACAATAACAACAGCCTCAAGAGGATAGGCAAGATAGGATATCGTGATAGCTGCAAAATCAAATATTGCCAGATATTCCCATCCCAGTCTCACATAGGAAATTACTGGAATGATAACCAGGGCTCCCTAGTAGCCATTTTACAGATTGTGTGATATTGCATAGCATTCAGGAAGGTTCATCAGCATGAAAAACGCATGAGAGAGGAAGATTTATTGTGCAGAAATGTACAGTGCAGTCATGGGTGAAAGCTATGATTTGTTACTGCTCTCATGCAAATTGGAGCAAATTTGATCACATTTAACATTGTACAAACTTTCATCTTCAGGGAAAAAATTCTCTAGACAATACTCTGGAAAATAAGAAATTACAAGTACAACCAGAAAATAAAGACTGTCAGTTTTTGCTAGCTGAAGGAATGGTTGATATTCAGGGAAAAAAATTACTTTAGGGAATAATTATTTTTACAATTACTTGATTTCAGTTTTGTTGTCTAGCTGATGGGACTCATCAGTTGAGACAGGCTTGCTCTGATGGTACTGGCAGGGTCACAACACTGAGGATGACAGCTTATTTTCTCACAACTTCTTTTCATACAGAGGATTGTCTTACTGATAGACATTAATATGACAATGCTGCAGCTGCCTCCATCAGATGTGCTCCCCAGAGTTTTAAAAGCATCTGTTACTTTTCACCTTTCTGAAGTAATTGCAATTGTCTTCTACCTGCAGCCTCATCATTCCACTGAGATATTTCTACACTATGTCCATTACAAAGGGGAAGGAACAATATATCATCAACAAGCAACAGCTACTCACTTTATCTTTCTAAATTTCTTTATCACTACAGAACACATTCATGTATTATAATGGCTATACTTGTGTCCTAATCTGCATCCATTGTGTTCCTTCCATTATGTGCAGTGATGATATGGTTGTTGCACAGGTATTATTGCTAATATCCATGAAATAATATCACAAAGTCTCTCCTTTTTTTTTTTCTTTTTTATTTTTTAATAGGACTTACAGATCTAGAAATTCTACCTTGATCATATTTTTTTTCTAACATAAATTCATCTTTGGAGAGAATTTTTACTGCATTTTAACAATTTTTTTTGTCCCATATGCTGCTAAAAAATAGTGTTACTATTCAACAGCCTTTCATCATTCATTAGAAGATTGGTGTGGGAGCGGAGGAGAGGGGAGGCAGCAGAGGAACCTCAATCTCACATGCTTCCCCTTAAATTTGCTGGAGCTATCCTCAGCATTTTGACCCTCCCTACATCCTCTTCAAACCTGCTTCTTGCAAGAAATCTGGCCTCTGAAATGGATGCAATCAAAAAAAGAAAATTCAGAATTTCCCTCTCCTGTATGGTAGTAGGCGTGATTCTTTAGATTTTATTATAAATTTCCACCATTTACTGTGGGATTTCACATCATCCACTTCTGAAATTGGGCTGAATTTTCTACTAGAAAAAAAATCCACTCTTGAAATTCTAGGAATAGTATAATTTCCTCTCTCATACAGTGTTCCCTGAACTCTATAAGTACACCCATTTCTTCAGTTGTGCTCATTAAATGGGTAATTAGTATCATGGGTGTGTAAGAGTCTGAGGTGATTTCCCAAAAAAAGTATAAAATATTTTATGTTTAGTTCAGCATGAATGAACTGTGAAATTGTATTTGAGTTAGACTGAAGAATTGCACTAGGATGGAGAATTAAATCAGTCTTTAACCAGTAATTTCAGGATGCTTACTTATTGAAAATATGTACTTTGCTACCCTCAATTAAAGAATGCTTGAGGCTACATTAATCTCAGCAGCTTTTCAAAGACAGGTAAATAGTACCAATATTACTAAGAAAGAAGAATCAGATATACTGCAAATTAGTTAAAGTACTGGTACCAAATTTTCTTCAGAAGATGCAAGAATGAGGATGAATCTCACCTCCCCCCAGTCATCCCAAAATGAGGTACCTAGTCTATACCACACACCAAGGAACAGCATGGGGAGAATAAAAAATGGAAAACCCCAGACAACCCAGTCCCATCTTAACCACTTTTTTACCTCTCTTCACCCAGGCTGTGACAAGCAGTTGACAACAGCATACAGCCTTGTCTGTGCTTTGCATATAACCAAAATAAATGAAAAGTGCAAATGACACTGCAACAACAAACATGTCAGATCTCCTGCAAACATGAGCTGGATTTGCTCACAGCAAAAAGGAACAATTTCCAGAGAGGACCTCAGTGTAACAGCCAGTGAAGGTTCAGTTTAATGAAAAGTTTCAGTACCTTTAACCACAAGGCTTGCTGTCACATCATGAAAAAAAGCAGTGTTTAACTTACAGGGCAAAGGAATGTGGCCTGTGGCCATCATGTAGGCAAAGCATTGGAGTGGTTTGGTCAGACACTATCTGATCTGCCATAAATCTTATCAATGTGAAGTAGCATTAGTGGTTTGGATTGGGATGAGGCATGCTAAAATTTGATTTCCTCTTTTATTAAACAAAGGCCTGAGTGACTGTCAGAAGTGTTACTCTTATTCAGAAAATAAAAATAAATAGCTGAGCGTGGAGATATCACAAATCAATCTCTCATTGATTCACATGTAAATAAGTAATGATTTTTAAGTAGTTATACTTGTTGTTGATATCTTCCTGAACATGCCAAAAAACCAGGCCAAAGAAACACAGCTCACCTGTCAGTATCTCATGAAGTCAAGCTTACAGTTGGGTAGGTTGTAGACATGAGGCTGGTACCTCCTGCACTGACAGAGCTCTTCTGGAACCCCAGAGGAGTGCCAGTCCCTCAAGAAACAAAAAGACAAGCAACAAAGTTGGGAGGGGCTCTCTACCAGTTCATTCTTGTAAAAACTAAACAAAAGCACAGTCAGGAAATCTGAAATAGAAAGGACAAACTTCAAGCTGTGATATTTCTAAATGAGTGCATATTCATTTCTCTCTCAAAATGTTTTCAGGGGTTTTTATAAAACAACAGTATTGTGATGTCAGTCCAGTCTTTAGAAAGTTTAGAACAAAAGAAGAGGGGGAAAAGAGGGCATTTCAAGTACTCACTGATTCACATGTCTGGCTTTTCCCAGGTAAACATTATTTACACTTCAATACAGTATGTTATATTGTCAATCAATTTTATTAATCTTTTTGAATCACTGAAGATATTTAGTGATGTCTTCGTTAATGTAGTTTTGTTTCAAAAATAACAGAAATGTTTAGTTTTGAAAGAGGAACTTTTCTCATGTTTCCCTGGAGAATGTATGCAAGTTCAGGCTCAAAATATACTTATAAATATACTTATAAAGGGTTTTCTTATCAATATAGAATAAACAGAGCTTATCCAAGTTCAAAAAGGTGTGAGAAGGCATAATCACTTCAACTCAGAGACTGGATTGCCAGTGTTGAAATGGGTGTGGGTGGAGCAGGACAGGCAGAGAGTAAAACAGTAGAAGTAAAACAGTATAAAATTATAGGGGAGCTAGGGACACTGCCTGGTTTCATGGAGAGCAGCTTGATCTGCTGGTGACAGCATGGCTTTTTGGTTTCCATCTCTTTTCCATGCTTCCAAGCTTCACTCACCTGACATCTGCAAAGAGCTGAACACAATTATGGAGGCCCATCTGCTTCTTTGAGGTGTCAGTGCTGGGGAATAAGGCATGGAAATAACAGTAGGTATTCCCAGGCCTCAGGCATGCCAGGGAGAAAAAATCTCCCAAGGAGCTCCCTCCTCCATCACAAGGCCTCAGCCAAAGAGGTTGAGGGGATGAAGGAAGCTGGGCATAAGATGCACCAAAAGGAAGGCACAGGGTACCAGGGAGTTTGAAGTGGCAAAGAGGAAAACCATCACAACACAGTCAACAAGAATCAGCAGCAGAGAAGAAAAGAAAAGAAAAGGAAAAAAGATCTCTGAGAGTCAGGCAGTTCTTTTCCTGTTTGCCAAATTAATTTTGCAATTAAGGCCCTAAGTGCTTTATTAGCTGTTCTTTTCCCCATTAAGCAGTTTTAGCAGACATGGGCATGCCATATGAACACACTTGGGGAAAGCAGACAGCATAGTTATGAACAGGAGGTTCAGTGTCTTTAATGCACACTGTCACTATCAACTTTGTCATACAAAACCCCTTGATAACTGGTTTCCTATTTCCCCAGGACAAACCTAATTTTTGAAATAGACAGAAGGCAAAACTTGCTGTTCACAGCAGCGAGGTAAGCTTAAAGCTCAGCAAACTTAAAACTCCTGATAAGGCTCAGCTCACTTGCAAAGCTATCTGAAAATTACTTGTACCTTCTCATAGAAAAAATAACTATCCCCTGGCCCATGCAAAAAATAAAAAGTTTTTCAGGATGTTATGCAAACTCATACATTTATACTGCTGAATAATTCAGGGCAAAACTGCCTGTAACTAACCGTACATGTTATAGCCCAAAGTTTGTATCTTCATGTAAATTTATTTGAGCAGCTTCTCCTTTTTGTTAATTTGTACAGCCTTTGCCTTGTATTCTCCCATTTTTATGCTCCCAGTTTTTATGAAATCTTTTCAAACTGCTAGCTCTATACTTCTATCAGCACTGCTGTCCTACTGAAATAAGTATGGCCACATCGAGTTGACAAAAGTCCACCTACTTCAAATTCCCTCCTCTGGCAGGGGCAAATAACAGATGCTCAGAAAACAGGTTAAAGAACAAGTACGTCTGCTGACTGTCCTCAGGATACCTTCCCCAGTTCCAGGAATCAGTTCAGGAACTTCTTGAACCAGGAATGTCATCTGCCATGGTGAGGTTATTGGGTTTAATAGGTCCTGAAGGACCTGTTTAAGGTGCTTAACCTGAGTCTTCATACTTATCATTCACTTGGCTAAACTCAATACCTCCCCTTTATGTGCTCCAACTTCCAAAGCAGTGGAGCTGCTTTATTATTGCTTTCCTTGTAGGAGCAATAAATAGCATTCAACACTATTCTAGAAGAAGTTTTTTATGATGATGCCTAAAGCTGAAGTGCCATAATATTTTCAGCAATATCACCCCATCTTCCTGTATAAGAGATCTTGCAAGACACTTGTCTGAAAACAAGTGACAAATCTGCTTCAGGTTTTTTCATAATCTGAAAGAACCCAGGAAATAACCCAGGAAATTTTCTGCTGCTGTTCTATGACACCTAAGAGACCATCAGGAGACCTACTGCAACTATTATTAAAAAAAAAAAGGCATAATTGGGATAAATACCCAGTGATATTTATGTGCATAAATATACAGCAGAATCATGCCAGGGAAGGAATTATTTCAGTTCAAGCTACAGGACATATTGAACATCACTTTGTAGATCTTTCTGAACAGATCTGGGCAGATGTTTGGAAAATCTGGGTAAGGGTGTATTTGGGTATTTTTGGATGGATAGGAATAAGGACTGGTAACCAGGTCCCCTGCTGCTTTGAATGTCAAGAATAGTTTTAGTGGCCAATTGGTGGAGGAAAAATGCCATTACCACCTAAACCACAGCTAAGCAGACTGAAGTCCTGCTTCCTCTGAAACCTTTCGCAGGTTCACCTTTGAAACCATTTCATTTTTCCCCTGAGAATCTAAAACTGGAAAAAGCACATGAAATCCCTGTCTGGGGTACAGACAGAGTCTCACCCTAATTCAAACTCCTTCAAGTCATGAAGACTTTTTCATTGATCTCAAGAGTTCAGCTGGACTGCTCAGGCTCAAGCCTGATGCATGGTCCTCTGGGAGAACAGCAGCAAATCTCTCACTGACTTTGAAAGGTGAGAACAGCTCATCATCTGTCACCACCTTCCTGAGGATACTCAGCTTAAACACTTGTATCCTAAACACACTGTACTCTGCTTACTGGTCTTTGTGAAGCTCCTCAAAAAACTGCTTCTTCTCAGGAGGGCAATGGTGGATGATGAGTCCTTATCTCTGAAAAGGGAATGCACCCCATAGTCCCAACAACTTACTAGGAATGAAAAGCACTTTCATTTAACAAACGGGGAAAGAACTTTGCTCTAGCAAGATTTTAAGAACAGCCGAAATTTAATAGCCTCCTGCAACAGAGCAGCATGTGACTCAGAGGCAGCCACTCCAGCTCTGCCTCAGCTGCTTACTTTCAGTTCCTCGTTAAGGAACTGTTTACATTAAACAAACGAAAATTTAAAGAAGGAAAGAAACCTGCTGTTTCAGATTAAAAGACGTGTCTAGGCAGAAGGATGCCTCTGTCCACTTCTGCAAAGGGTGAAGTGAACTGCAGAGCGAGGAGAGGAGCGCTTTGCTGAGTCACGGCAGCCGGGGATATCTCTTGCGCGCTGCTGCTGATCATCGCCAGCCAAGACACCGCTGCCGAGGGAGGGGACAGGGAGGGGCAGGCAGCACGGCACTACCAGTGCCACCAGTTATCTGCCAAAGCACATCCAAGGTGCAAGACTGGAGCTGTGAAAGGGCTCACTAGAAATTCTGTATGAAGCAATGCAGCCAGACGAAAACAACTTACATCAACTATCTACAGTGAAGAGCTATCACATGCCCAGTACATAAATGTGATTGAAAGCAAAACAGGAAGGAAAACAAAAGACCAAATCACCTCAAACAGAACCAAGAAGCTGCATTAAATAAATTTCAAATCCTCAAGTAGTCTGAAAGCCAGTCACAGCAGATCTAGTAACTCTTGCAGCTTTGTTTAGGACTGGGCAAAGCCACAACAGGCTCTCTGCACAAGCTACACCTGAACACAGCCCGAAGGGAGCTGCTAAATTCTTCTCCACTGAGTCATCTAAACAGAAAAGCCACCAGTGTTAGGGGCTTTCAATGGAAAAAACTAAATCTGATGCATGAAATAATCAGAGATGAGCAAGGAGGACTTGCAAATGCACAAACACGAGAGGGAGGTAACTGAAAAGCAAAACTACTGAATAAACCACACCATTTAGAAATGGTTGCTGTTATGTGGTGTATGAGATGAGATGCCAGCAAGAACCCCAGTTCTGTTAAGATTTTCTTATTCAGAAAAAATAAATATACTCTGATGCCTTACATATGCTTGAGGATTCAAACAAGCACACATTTTCAACACAACACTTCAGAAGAGTAAAAAGTGCCATATGGCATGGAGACTAATGTTAGCAGTAGTGCTGGTGCTGTGACAGAGGTGTTCAGAGCACCCCATTTTCAGGAACACAAAGCCAGTGGGATGTTGTTGCCCACACCTTTACAGTTACATCTAAACTTAGGTATGCCTCTGCAGAATTACATTACTCTCTTTTCCTTCCTCCAATATTTGGAGAAGTTCCTTCATACGACTTTGTTTGCCCTGCTCATCAGCATGACACAGGGTATGAAAGATTTCTGCAGAACTGCATTTTTGTATACAACTATCTGCCAAAAATGTGCTTCACTTCCCTTTTTAGGTTCCTTTTTTAAATTTTGTGTTAACCATTATTCTCAAGGCAGCCTTGAAAACATGACTTGAACATTAGTACAAGCAGTACAGTAATGTTACTCTGTAATCCATAAATGACATGCAGAGGGCTAAGGTTCTCAGTAGATTGTTAGCACTGTAACTTAAAGCCAACTCAATTTTAAAAAGTACATAACTTCTCAGAAGGCAATTAAAATTACATTTTACATGTCAATATTATTTAGTAAAGCACTATTGATGTTTTCAGCAAAATATTTCAGCAAATCATTTCTCCAAAATATCTTCATCAAAAGAATCTTCAATTCTTCACACGTTGAGGATGTCATAAAATGCAAACCAGTGCAAACTGCAGAGCTGCAGCCACCACATGCCTGTGATCTTTGTGAAGTCTGTTCATGGGCATGTCACTCAAATTTGGGCCAGTGTGAATACTGGTGGCAGGGGACAGAGGAAGGTAGCTTGCCATGTTGTGTTATTTGGAAATCCTCGACTTCAAAGAATAAGCATCACCCAGCTAAGTCTGATCTTAAAAGTCCAGTCAATGCTTTTAGCTCCACTTGCAGTGAGGGGGACTGGAAACAAATGAGGGCCAAGTCTCTTGCAGTGCACCCGCCTGAGGGGAATATGTTGTGTCAGCACTGGGAGATGTTCACAAACAGGCTTCGAGCTGTTGCACAAAGGTAAAAAGGTGCTTCCAGGTGAGCAGCTCAGGCTGCAGCTTTGCCTTCAGCACTGGTGAGATCACAGCTTTGCTGGAGCCACTTAGCTCTGTAAACCCAAGCCCAAGCTTATACACAGTTACTAGGAAGGAGAGAAGCAGAGGAGCTCTCCAGAACACAGATCCACCGCTCCACTCTTTGGCCCTGGGAAGGCTGTTCTGAAGGAGCTGTGTGTTAAAACAAGTTTGGCCAGCAACCTGGACCGGACTCAGACACTTGTGTTCCTTTGTAAGTGACAGGCTCTTCAGCACAGCTGGATCTGGAAAGTGGGCCTCTGGACAATATCCCTCTGTGGAACAAAAGGAAGTTCCAACAGGCTTAAAATCCCTTCTTCACCCTGCTCAAATAAGTGTTAACAGCTAGATGCGTGACCTGAACAGCCCTTCTCACCTAACAGCCTCACATGATTGTTTTGGCTTTACCTTGTGACAAACAAAATGCTGTCACAGGATGAGTCAGACTTTGGACTTGGCCAGGCTGAGGAGAAGGACACCATTCTCTACAAGCTGATCTCATGCCAGAGTAGCACTTTTTTTGAATCAGTCTGCCTGTGTGCCTCTGTGAGCAAGTCTATATGCGAGACCAAAGAAGCTCAAGTAAACGATCGAGGCCACTGAGCTTGTATGCTGGGTTGATCCTGTGCTAAGAGACACTTGACAAACCAGTGTTGTCCCTAAATTTGGGACTGAATGGCATGTCACATGGCAGTGAACAAGTTAAAGCGTTACTCAAGATCATATGACCCACGTTATGGACAATCTGTCTTCAAATCACTTTATCAAGGAACTCAATTTTCGTGAAGTTTCTAAACTGCCCTTCTTATTTTAATAGAGCAAATACATCAGGGAAACTTTGAAGTTCTGATGTGCTTTTAGCAAAAGGGACTTTTTGCAGTACTTGTGATGGAGAACCAGTATTTAAGACTGAAAGGTGGTCCTTCAGGATGCCTCAGCTATGTCACCTCTCCTTGGTATACCACACCTGTGACAAGGCCAGAATCATTACTCAGTGGTGTCCTGGGAGGACAGTGCAGAGCTGTGTGCTCACCGTGCTGTGGATGCCGTGTACAGCAGGGCAGGCAGAGGCCGTATCTGAACTGCACAACTGCGGGTCCGCACCAGTGCAACCTTTCATGTGGATATGCAGCAGGTGCCCCAGCAGGTGTTCACAGCGACAGGAGGCCTTTCCCCCGACACCCGGCACCAGCTATGCCAGACCCAGAGAGCGAGGTCTGTCTCTTCCTGGCACTGCTGGGTTAATGGTTAGACTTCATTATATTAGAGGTCTTATCCAACCTACACAGCTTTATGATTCTATTAATGAGAGACCAGCTGGTGGCTAACAAATGTTGGTTTTACACACGCTGACAAGCCGAGAGCCCACGGAAGGGGAGCGCCTATAATAAAACCCCTAAGCTCTGTCAGCTGAGAGCGGAGCGCTCGGCAGCACGGGGGAGCAGCACGCCGTGGCTTCCCCTTCGGCCAGGCACGGCCACCTGGCCGCCGCGCAGGCTGAGCTCCGGGCCGGGGTGGCGGTGCTAAACGAGGCCAGCGATGCCGCTGACAACGCAGATCCTCGTTGTGTAATCAGCCCGAACACGCCGCGGGCCCGGGCAGCGCTGCTGACATCGCCAAGGAGCTGATGCGCGCTGACCTCTGGCAGCAGCGTCCCCGGCGTGGGGACAAGCAGGGCGGCGGTGACAGCCGCGGGCACAGGGACCCCGCTCGGCCGCCGGGCCCGGCCCCGCCCGCCGCAGCGCCCCGCCCGCGGGCCCAGACAGGGACAGCGCCGAGATGGCGGCACCGGGCCTCGTCCTCTCGGCGGCCGGGGGGCGGTGACGGCGCGGCGGGGGACGCTCCTCCGCTGAGGGACACGGCCGCCCCCGTCCCGCCCCCGGTGTCACGGTGTCACGGCGCTGCGGGACGGGCCCGGTGCGCAGGGGACAGCCCGGCGGGCGGGGCGGGGCGGGGGCGCTCCGGGAGCGCTGCGCTCCGGGACGGGGCTGGCGGAGCGCGACCCCCGTGCGTGGGGCTGTCACCGAGCCCGCTGCCGCTCGGGGCTTTCGCTTTCGCCTCGTGAGCGCTCGCGATTTGTTCCTGGCGCAGGGTTTGAAGCCCAGACCCAGAAATGAGGAAGGTTCTGTGCGTGGAGCCCGTCATTTTCTTCTACGTTTTTGCGTTTTCCCTGACGACCCCGCTGGTGCAGCAGTTCATCTACCGGCGGCTGTGGGAGCAGGAGTACAACTCCACTTTCGTCAGCGACAGCAATGCCAGTCACTGCGAGCAGAATAAGAGCAGCCCGGCTTATATCAAACAGAAGGCAAGTGGCGGGGGAGGAATAATAATTGTAAATAAACTCGCAGCCAGGAGGTGCTGCCTCAGTATAACCTCCTGTTTTATAACCTTAATCTGTAAATCTGCGGAAAGCCGTAGTTTTGTAACCTGCTCTCACTTCAGTGTCTTCTCGCTCTAATGTTATGCTGTAGGTAGAGATAATGCTTTAAAGACAAAGATTTGTCTCCAGGAAGACACTGAGACAAATTCATATTATAGCGGGAGTTGAAAAACGCCTGAGAGAATGGGGACCAAATTATCATTGGGCTGACATTACCGCGGGTACAACTGGAGGTGGAGGCTCCTCCTCCCACACCATTGTGCGTGTTGTGTTTGTGAGCCATCCGTTTTCTCTGTGGCTTCTACTGTTCTTCGTAACCGTGTGAAGCTCAACAAATGCACTGTAGTTTTGAGAAATAGTATCTAGCTTAAAATATATGTGTTTTAGAGGAATTACAAGAACGAGGAACAGGAGAAATTAAAATAATTTTTTTGTGGTTTTAAAACGTCGAAAAAAAATTAACTGATCTTTGCATGATTAAATACGGTTGATGGTTTGCCATTCAGAGCACTAGTGTGCCTTGCTGGAATACAAGGACGTCAAGATGACAGGATCCCATGGTCAGTTACATTTTTTGCACTTTTCTGTAGTTTGGTGTGCTGGATAGTGAGTTGTTGACTGGCACCTCTTCCATTGCACTTCCAGTGCAGTTTTAATGCTACACTTAAGCAGAGCTAGCTGTGAGCTGCCATCAGAAGAGATGGTCATTCTCCATTTCCCTTCCCCCTCTCACCCCATGTGTTGTGTCTTGCAGTTCTGCAGTAA